TGGTCCGTGGACCACCAGTTGGCAAATGCTGGTTTAAAGTATTACATATGTCTCCTTTTTCCCCCATCAACCCCTCCCTGGCCACTCTCACCCCCCAGGACAAGCCCCCACCGCCCCAGTGGCTGTGTCCATTGGTTATGCTAACATGCATGCATACAAGTCCTTTGGTTGCTCTCTACCCCTCCCCTCCCCTGCCCTGCCCTCCCCTGCTTTCCCTCTGAGGTTTGACAGTCTGGTGCTTCTCTGTCTTTGGATCCATTTTTGTTCATCAGTCTGTGTTGTTCATCATATTCCACAAGTGAGTGAGATCATGTGAAATTTATCTTTCTTAGACTGGCTTATTCCGCTTAGCATATGCTCTCCAGTTCATTCATGCTGTTGCAAATGGTAAAAGTTCCTTCTTTTTTATAGCGGTGTAGTGTTCCCTTGTGTAGATGTATCACAGTTTTTAATCCACTCATCTGCTGATGGGCACTTAGACTGTTTCAATGGAAATATTTTTTTAAAAAAGATGTATTTTAAACCCAATTTTTTTTTTTTTAAATATATTTTATTGATTTTTTACAGACAGGAAGGGAGAGGAATAGAGAGTTAGAAACATCGATGAGAGAGAAACATCGATCAGCTGCCTCCTTCATACCCCCCACTGGGGATGTGCCTGCAACCAAGGTACATGCCCTTGACTGGAATCGAACCCGGGACCCTTGAGTCCGCAGGCCGACGCTCTATCCACTGAGCCAAACCGGTCAGGGCATTAAACCCAATTTTAACATGAAAGTATTCCGTATTCATAAATTCTTACTGTGACTCTAGGTTGTAATGTGTGTATTTAAATTTATCCTTGAGAAGCCTTTAAGCTGAAAAGTTGAACTTGCTGATCTTGCCTGTTTTGTATTTTTTCAGGGGAGCAGAAAGAGGGTTCTGGAAGGCATCATAGCGTTCTTCAACGAGCTAGATAAGCAGCACAAAGAGGAACAGAGTGGTGACGAGTGAGTAACACAGTTTAGAAACAAAACCCCTTTTACAGATGTACCTCCTCATTGTGCATCGTAGTTACTTCACTGTTCTCTAACCTTCCGGTCCCTGCCTTCACCTAACCCTCTCCTAGCTGCCCAGTGATAAAGTTTAAAGAACTGTGCAGCCTCCTCAACTCTTTTCATTTGCCCCTTTCCAGGAAAATAGCGGTAACTGTTCTGTAAGTTGTAAGTTTAAAAGCTATTTATTGTTAAGTGTCTCCTCTGTGCCAGGAACTGTGTGGTCCTGGGTCTACAGCGGTGAGCCCGTCAGTCAGGCAAGGGCCCTGCTCTCGTGGAGCTTAAATTTTAGTGAGAAGAGAACACAAAATGAGGAAAATATTAGAGTGGAAAGTGCATCTAATTCAGATGGATGATGTGAGAGTGGCAGCATAGCCACTATTCCAGCATTGTGTTGGGTAGTCAGGGAGACCTCTCTGAGAAGCTGCTGTTTTAACTGAATGGTAAGAGCCACAATATGTAGATCAGGGAAAAGAACATTTTAAGTTAGTGAAAGTACAAAGGCAGGACACAGCACGGCATGTCTGAAAAGGGATTTTTTTACAGCAAATATTTGTAAGTGCTTATCTATGCCACGTGCTGTTTTAAGCACTTTAAACCTCATAAAAACCTTATTTTGTTTCTATTTTTTTGGGTGCAGAAACCAAGGCACCGAGAAATTGAGGAATTTCCCAAGATTCTCTAGCCAGGGCGTGGTGGAGTGGGGTTTGAATCCAGGCAGCTTGACTGTAGAATTCACACTCTTTTTTTTTCTTCTTGTTAACGTGAGAGAGAGGAAAGGAGAGAGAGAAAGAGAATATCAATTTATTCTTCCATTTATTTATACATTCATTAGTTGCTTCTTGTATGTGCCCTGGCTGGGGATCAAACTCCCAACCTTTGTATATCGGGACAATGCTCTAACCAAGTGAGCTACCCATCCAAGGCTAGAATTCACACTCTTAGTCCTGTTGCAGCCTACGCCTCTGCTCTGGAGTAACTTGTCGTTATTTGGCTGCGAAGGTGATCTTCTTACTCAGGAAAGACTGACAGGAAAGTAGGTTTCGGAGGAAATAAGCCCAGCTGTGACCCTGTTGCGTTGAGGTGTGTGTTAGCATTCCATACTGAGGTGTTTAGCAGGCAGTCTGGTGTTACAGGGAGAGGCCCGAGTGGAGATAGAGGTTGGGAGGGACCAGATGGGGTCACATAGGGAAAGCGTGAAGAGGAGAAGAGAAAGAAACCCAGTGCTGAGCCCGGAGGCATCCCACCATTTAAAAGGAGGGTGAGCCCAGCTGGCATGGCTCAGTGGTTGAGCATCGACCTGGGAACCAGGTCACGGTTTGATTCCCGGTCAGGGCACATGCCCGGGTTGCGGGCTCAATCCTCAGTGTGGGACGTGCAGGAGACAGCCGATCAATGATTCTCTCTCATCATTGATGTTTTTATCTCTCTCTTCCTCTCTGAAATGAATAAAAATATTTAATAAATAAATAGAGGGTGAACCAGCAAAAAAAAAAGAGAATTGATTAGAGGCCTGTGACAATGCCCCAGAACCTCAGAGAAGAAAGTATGTCAAAAAAAAGTGGTTGGTTGTGTGGAATTGGCTGAGGCGTTAATATGGGACTTGATTGGTTTTGGCAGCAGAGGGATCATTTGGAACCCTTGAGTTCAGCCCGCGTTGGTCCGCTTGTTCATCGGAGCATCTGCCCTGCTGTCTCTTCATACTTTTCTGTTGACTCTTTCAGGCTCTTGGATCTTATTACCGTGCCGTCAGGTGAACTTCGTCACGTGGAAGGCACCGTTATTCTCCACATTGTGTTTGCCATGACATTGGACTGTGAACTAGGCAGAGAACTCCTGAAACACGTAAAGGTAGCGGCAAACTCTTGAGGTGACCCGGGATCTCTGAAGCAGGGATGTCTGAGCTCAGGCCCCTTCTATGCCAGTTCATGACAGGAAGGAAGCAAGGAGGAATATTGCAGAATGACCCTGGGTCTAGAGCAAGCATGTCAAACTCGCGGCCTGCGGGCCACAAGTTTGACATGCTTGGTAGAAGATCTCTTTTTTGACTTTGACGTCACCACATTGATAAGCAAGTTCCATTTTAACCATTTGTATGCCATAAGCATCTATGACGCAAGTGGCGGATCTTTTTAAATTAAATTCAAAATATTGTGGCAGTTAACTGGTGAAAGCCATTCCTTAAATGTTCTAGTGTTTGAAAAGAAAAAGCCCGGCCAGCGTGGCTCAGTGGTTGAGCTTCGACCTATGAACCAGGAGGTCACGGTTCGATTCCTGGTCAGGGCACTGCCTGGGTTGCAGGCTCGAACCCCAGTGTGGGGCGTGCAGGAGGCAGCCGATCAATGAATCTCATCGTTGATGTTTCTATCTCTCTCTTCCTCTCTGAAATCAATAAAAATATATTTTAAAAAATTTAAAAACAACGATGGGAACTGTTCAGCAAGGAACTGAAATTTTAATCTTAACTCCACTAGTATCTTATGTTAACATCAGCACTGACCTGTTTGCCCATTTATGAATTAGGGATATTGCCTATTTCTAGTATATTATGAGGTTTTGTGAACCTAAGTCATTCATTAAATATTTGTGAAGTACTAAGATAAAAATCAGAAGGATTCCAGACTCTTTTAAAGAAAGCTAGTATACAGATAAAGGACCTATTTTTCCCTAATATTTTGTTTTGAAATGTTTAACCCACAGAAAAGTTGAAATATTTTAGCAGGACAAACATCTGTCTACCCTTCACCTAGATTTACACATAAATGAATGAGTATGGATGAGCCAGTGAAACTATAAGGCCACTGAAATTTGAATTTTATTTAATTTTCATGCATCATGAAATATTCCTTTGATATTTTTCTCCCTCAACAATTTAAAAACGGAAAAACAACTTGTAGCTCATGGGCTGTCCAAAAACGGTAGATTTTGGCCTGCAGGCTATCGTTTGCCAACCTCTGTGCCGTGGCATTACATCCGAAGGCTCATGGTTAGCAGGCTGTCTACTGCTGCTGATGCTAAATCTTCTGCTTAAGACAACGACCATCAGTTTTCTTCGTTTGCAAAAATACATGTTTCCTTTTATAATTCGAAAGTCATCCATGGGATCATAATTTGAGATCATGTGACAGTCCTTGTCCTCAGCAGCTTTCACATGTAGTTTTTGTCTTCTTATGTACTGAGGATTCTTGGCCTACATCAGTAATTATGCTGGGAGTTGCAAAATGGTAGAATGAAAATTAAAATGGTTTTTCTGCATTATTGATTGCCCTTTTTCTGTGAAAAGAGCCTTCTGATTTTTTGGGAAATATCAGTACGTACCCATGAACCTTTTTAAATTCAGTGTACTCAAAGCATTGCTCAAAGTGAGCCATATTTGGCCACCTGGATCCTTCTAATTTGCTCATGTGTCCTTCTGACCCCTTTAGTCCTTGGACATGTTTATGGCATAAACTATCCAAGGCTCACTTTGTACATTCCTTGCCCCATCCTGGTACCAGCCATTTTCTTAGTGGTGTCTTTTGAAGCACAGAAAAGTTCTGAATTTTGGTAATGTCCAATATATCTATTTTTTTTCTTACATAATTTTGCTTTTGGTATTGTGTATAAGAAAGAATTTGCCTAATTCAGGTTCTTAAAGATTTTCTGCTGTTTTCTTCCAAAAGTTTTATAGTTTTAGCTCCGACATAGAGGTTTCTGATGTATTTAAGGAACTTTTTTAAAGTAGCCTGTGTTACACCTTTAAGATGTAAGTAATGACTCCTTTTTTGTTTATCTGTTCTAGGCAGGACAGCAAGGAGATTTCAGTAATAATTACATATGTCCCTTCAGCATTGCCCTCCTGCTCTCTGTAGCAAGAATACAAAGGTTTGAGGAGCAGGTATTTATTAATGACTTTTTGGTTCCTTCTATAGCTGATACGGAGTTCAAGAGCCTGTACTTTTTTTCATTATTATTATCCTTTCCTAAACAATTCCACCTCAGTCCTGCCAGCAGCAAATTCCTCTACAAGACATGTAGGGCCCTAGCTCGTTTGCCTTAGTGGGTATAGCGCCGGCCCTCGGACTGAAGGGTCCTGGGTTCAATTCCAGTCAAGAGTCTGGATCCCAGGGCTTTGTGCAGGAGGCACCAGTTGATGTGTGTCTGTCTTTGTCCCTTCCACTCCCTCTATGGAAAAGTATCCTCGGGTGAGGATTAACAACAATAACAAAAGACATGTAGACCCACACTGTTGTCTGGGGGTTGCTTGAAGACTTTTTTTCAGGTACTTGCTTTGTACCTCTATTTCCTATTGTTTGGTAAGAGAGGTGAATAAAAATGGAAACATCACACAGTACAGGTAGCAAGGATGGGAAGTTTAGCTGGGTATTCAGCAGTTCTGTTATGGTCTATTATGTTCTACTAGAGGCCTGGTGCATGAATTTCGTGCACTGGGGTGGGGGGTGTCCCACAGCCCAGCCTGCACCATTGTCAATCTGGGACCCCTTGGGAGATGTCCGACTGCCGTCACACATCCCTCTCACAATCTGGGACTGCTGGTTCCCAACCGCTCACCTGCCTGCCTACCTGATTGCCCCTAACCACTTCTGCCTGCCGGCCTGAATGCCCCCAACTGCCCTCCCCTGCTGGCCCAATCGCCCCAAACTGCCCTCCCCTGCAGGCCTGGTCGCCCACAGCTGCCCTCCCCTGCCAGCCCGATCGCCCCCAACTGCCTTCCCCCGCAGGCCATCTTGTGGTGGCCATCTTGTGCCAGTGTGTGGTGGTCAATTTGCATATTACCTCTTTATTATATAGGATTAGCTTTCTAAGAAATTGTCCCTGATCACGTTGAAATAATAGTGAATAGGTTAGTTGCAAGGATGAAAGGATAAAATTCTTTGCCCTTTTTGCTCATGTGTTCTCTACTTGTGGGAAGGCCTGTCTCTTAAGTTCCCACTGAAAGTCATAATTTTTATGTTGTACTCATCTAGTGAGACAGTTGTCATGGGGATATGAGAGTAGAGCAGCAAGTAGGAACTATGACAAGGTTAAGATTCTGTGCCAGGGAATATCATTTTTTGCTTCATTTTCCTATTTCTTTCATTGTATTAGGTGTTTGACCTTTTAAAGGCTTCAGTTTTTAAAAGCTTTAAGGATCTTCAGCTTCTCCAAGGCTCAAAATTTCTTCAGAATCTAGTCCCTCATCGGTCCTGTGTTTCAACCATGATCTTGGAAGTGGTAAAGAACAGGTGAGTTCATGAACCACACCCTAGTAGGTTCCTCAGGTGTTTGGTGTGAGAAAATGTGGTGCCATACCTATGGCCCATCAGAGAAAACTGCTGACATTTAATACAGTTCATGTTTGTGTAAGTTCCTTTTTAACCCTTTGAGTTCCAACCAATATCCTAGGGCAGTGATGGCGAACCTATGACACGCGTATCAGAGGTGACACGCGAACTCATTTTTTGGGTTTATTTTTCTTTGTTAAATGGCATTTAAATATATGAAATAAATATCAAAAATAGAAGTCTTTGTTTTACTATGGTTGCAAATATCAAAAAATTTCTATATGTGACACGGCACCAGAGTTAAGTTAGGGTTTTTCAAAATGCTGGCATGCCGAGCTCAAAAGGTTTGCCATCACTGTCCTAGGAACTATGCTAAAATTGCCAAGGCATTTTTGCTGATTTTACAGCAGTTTAGGAAAAAAATTATGAATCGCAAGTAAATGAAGTTACATATTCAAAAACTTAAGGAAACCTTTACTACATTGACATATTTAGCAATATCATCTTCACTAATAAAAGCAGACTTAGAACTAGACGCCATTTCAAAGCTTTGATAGCGCTCCCGGCACTTTTGGCGAAAGACAGGAGGAGCGCCATCACGCTCCCCGGCACTCTAGGGGTTAACTTATTACTGGATGATATTGGTGTGCCCTTTCACTGTAAGAATTCATGTCTTCCCTAAACGCTTTTATTTTCCTTTTATTTTCTTTGAATAACCCCTTTCCCTTTTCTCTCTGTTCTCTCCCATTAGCCATTGGACTTTCTTGATCTCTGTGCCATATCTCTCAATTTTTCTTTCATGCTTTTCATATTGTTGTCTTTTTATGTGAAGTTCTACAAAAATTCCTTAACTCTTTTTTCAAATTAATTTGTTCTTCAGCTCTCTCCATTTTACTCATCGGTCCATCAGTTGGGTTTTTCACTCCAGCAATCATGTTTTTCATTTCCAAAGTTTCCAGTTTCTTTTATAACAGTTTGTTTTTGTTTCATGCTATTGTATTCTTTTTTTTTTTTTAAATCCTCACTCAAGGATATTTTTCCATTGATTTTTAGGCAGAGTGGGAAAAACAGAGAGAAATATTGATGTGAGAGAAACACATCGATTGGTTGCCTCCTGCACGCACCCTGACCAGGGCTCTGGCCCAGGAGGAGCCTTGCAACCAAGGTACATGCCCTTGACCAGAATCAAACCTGGGACCCTTCAGTCCGCAGCTGACGCTCTATCCACTGAGCCAAACTGACTAGGGCCATGCTATTATATTCTTACTAGAGGCCCAGTGCACAAATTTGTGCACGGGGAGAGGTCCCTCGGCCTGGCCGGTGATCAGGGCCAATTGGGACTGTCTTGCCCAGTCCCAATTGGGGCTGGCCAGCTGGTGGGAGGTTGGCCGGTTGCGGAGGTTGGCTGTGGGAGTGCACTGACCCCCAGGGGCAGCTCCTGCGTTGAGCGTCTGCTCCCTGGGGGTCAGTGCACGTCATAGCAACCGGTCGTTCAGTCGCTTAGGTTTATATATATATATATATTTCTCTGAGGATAATCATTATACTTTTAAAATCTCCCATGTGTTCCAGTAACCTTTTCCCTCAGATGTTAGTTCCATTCAGTGAGTTAGGTGCTTCTCTTTCAAGACAGCTTTTTTTTTCTTGTATTTGCTGATTATTGGTTGTCTCCTTACTGTTTCTGGTGCTCCCCATTAGTTCATCTCAGAGGGCCGCACCTCCTTAACACAGTCTAGCTCTGATCCGATAGCGGTAGATGTGCTGAGGGCTGATCTTCTAGGCATGTGGCCCCATATCCTCCCGCGTGTCGCCATCCTCCCCGAGAGCCGCTCTGCCTCTAGGACCAGGATCCTCTACTCACACGTGTCAGCTCAGGGCTGTCCTGTCAGGGCTCACTTGTTGGCATAAAGTGGCGACATAGGGGGTCTTGGAGGAGAAGGTGGAGAAGGATGCTGTGCACCATAAGGATGCGTGAGAAGGAACGGTTCAGGTGAAGACGGTTGGTTATCCTTATCGGATCAAGTTTGGGAACTGTGTAACATGGCAACGAAGATAAAGGTAAGGGTTTCACTACGCTTTTTTTTTTTTTTTTTTTAACTAAGCTTTGTTTTCTTGCAGTGTCCATAGTTGGGATCATGTTACCCAGGGCCTAGTCCAGTTTGGTTTCATTTTAATGGATTCATATGGGCCAAAGAAGATTGTAGATGGACAAGCTATTGAAAGCAGCCCAGGTCTTTCTAGAACACCAAACCAGCATGCATGTAAGCTGGGAGGTGACATCCTGTTGGAGACTTTTAAGGTGAGACTCTAGTTTGGCAACCACTTTCTGATTTCATTAAATGATATCATAAATGGGGCATGGAGTTTGGAGGACAGGAAATTGAGTTTCGGGAACAGATTGGGGTAGTAATTGACACATTACAGTTCTAGTTTAATGGAATACATACTTTCTTATCTTTTATTTGTATGAGTTTTTCATTCTGTTCTTTATTCATTCTGATAATTTCTTTTTTTAAATAAATCTTTATTGTTGAAAATATTACATATGACCCATTTCCTCCCCCATTACTCCCTCCAGCCCGCCCCCACCCCTGATAATTTTTTACAAGTATGAATATATGTTAGCTTTCCCATGGTTTCCTCCAGCAGTAAATCATTTCTGAGTGGTTTTTTAATGCTATTTCTTTATACAAAAAAATAATCTTTTACATTGCTGTAGAATATCAGACTTGAAGAATCATGCTTATTAGTTTGTTATTGAAGAACCAAAATGGGGAATTTACCTTTTTTAAACTCGTTACGATATTATGACTATCATCTCAGTCTTAATTTCTGAATCAGCTCTGAAAAATACATTTTCTTTCAAGTAAAAAAAGAAAGCTAGATCTTATCTGAGGCTAGAAATGTTACTTTGCTAGTGATTCCTCTAAGTCATCTTCTTTGTTTTTCTTTTCTTTTTTTAATCTTCACCTTAGGATATTTTCCCATTGCTTTGTAGAGAGAGTGGAAGGGAGGAGGGATGGTAGGAGAGAAAAAGAGAAACTTTGATGTTAGAGAGACACATGGATTAATTGCCTCCTGCATACGCCCCCACCAGGGTTGGGGATCAAATCTATAGCTCAGGTTTGTGCTCTTGACTGGGAATTGAACCCCTGACCCTTTGGTGTGAGGGCTGGTACTCTAGCCACTGAGCAACACTGGCCAGGGCATCTAAGTCATCTTGACATGCAGTTGTTAAATGTGGCTACATGCCAAAAGTGTGGGCTGAAATTATTTGATACTAAATTTTTTTTTCCAGAGAGGAAGGAAGAGGGAGAGAGAGAGAGAGAAACATCCATGATGAGAGAGAATCATGGATCGGCTGCCTCCTGCGAGGCCCCCACTGGGGATTGAGCCCACAACCCAGGCATGTGCCCTTGACCGGAATCGAACCTGGGTCCTTTCAGTTCGCAGGCCGACGCTCTGTCCACTGAGCCAAACCGGCTAGGGCTATTTGATACTAATTGAAATGTTAATCTAGTGTCCTGATCTGGAACTATGAAGTGAAAATCATAGAATAGCCCTTGAGATTGTATGTTAGATTGTATAAATGACTTATTAATAGTAATCAGATTAAATGGCATTCTAAGAATAAGAGCCTTTGATAGTTTCCATTTTTAATCTTTTTTAAAACTAGGAGGTTCCATTTGATTTCACACAGATAGATATTGGCTTTGTCAGGGCATCTCTAGAGCATATAATTGACTGCTAATAATCTCATTATTACTATCTACCTCAAATAACCCAGTTCGGGGAAGAAATTTAACTAAAATTCTTAAGTCCTTTTTAAGGCAACTATTGTGCTTCCAGACACTGGTGAAGGTGTTTTTAGGTTTTCAGACACTTTCATGGGCTTATGAATTTTACATTAAATGTGCGTACTGTCAGCAATGTGGGTGTCGGTATATAATGGACACCCAAGTGCAGTCATTCCTGTTTGATGTTGAACGTTATATGTAGCGACGTTTTCATTTGCAGGTTCATGTTCATTGTAGGGATCTCTGTAGGTTCCTAAACATGGTCGTTTGAGGGTGGGGTTGAGGGATCCTGTCTTTCAGGTGATTCTCATTGTATCTGGCTTTGAAATAAACACTGAAGTTTTACCCATATCCAAACTGCTCTTCATTCTGCCTAACATGCGTGGATGCAGTTATAAGCTGAAAGTCACCAAGGAATGTTTTATTGGTTCTTCTGTTCTTTTTAGATCCATGAGATGATCAGACAGGAAATTCTGGAGCAGGTCCTCAACAGGGTTGTTACCAGAGCATCCTCTCCCATCAGCCATTTCTTAGGTATGGAACTTGGAAAAGGTGGCTAAAGTGCTCAGGAATATTTTCATTTCAGTGTCATAATGGTTTGATCATGGGAAAAAATTAACGATAAAAAGAAATTAACAGCCCTGGCCGGTTTGGCTCAGTGGATAGAGCGTTGGCCTGCGGACCGAAGGGTCCCCAGTCCAGTCAAGGGCATGTACCTCAGTTGCAGGCTCCTCCCCAGCCCAGGCCCTGGTCAGGGTGCCTGAGGGAGGCAACCAGTTGATGTGTTTCTCTCACATCCATGTTTCTCTCCCTCTCTCTTCCACTCTCTAAAATCAATGGGAAAATATCCTTGAGTGAGGGTTAAAAACACATATACATAAAAAAGCAATTAAAAGGAGTTTCGTGCAGTCTTTTATTATAACGTCAGTAAAACATTGCGTCCATTCATGTTGTCTGTGGTTGTCCAGAAAGGAAGGCACATATAACCAAGGAGTGATGCTCTTGCCTTGCATCAGCCTGGTCTGCTTTGTGTGGTAATTGTCACGAGTGCTGTCCTGCTGCCCCCAGGGACGCCCATTCTACCCTGCGCACTGGCAGGTCTCCAGGGCTCACCCTGTGCAGCCCTCTCCCTCCGGTCCTCTGCCGTGAACTCCAGCTGCCGGGCTTTCCTGACCCTCAGCTCTGCTCCTGTCACTCAGGGAGACCGGGGATCTGGGTTTCCCTCTCTGTGGGTGGGAAGGCTCACTGGTTACTTCCCTTTCTCAGGGGCCGCTGTCCTGTGCTGCTCTTGTCTAGTGTCTGAACATTGCTGTTTGATATAATTGGACC